ATGTCAGTTCTTGATAATTTTTTACCCAGTTCAAACTATTTGGAAATATCTGTTGTGATTTCTTCTTTGACTCATGGATGTTATTATTTAATTTTGAAGCATTGGGGGTTTCTTGTCATATTTTAATTTCTGCATTGTTCTGCTGCAGTCAGAAAGCAGAGAGGCTTGTTTTATGATCTAGAATATAGACAATTTTCATATTTTAATTGCATGTAAGAAGAATGTGTGTTTTAGTGTGTTATGTATGTCAGTGTATTTGAATATGATGTTTGTTGTGCAGCACTTCAGTGTTCATGTGTCTGTGTTGTCTTCTGTTAGAGTCTGTAAACAAGTCAAAATAACACCTGGCATTTAGCCAGGGGAATGTTAGAGTTCGTAAACAAGTCTGGATGATGCCTGGCAAAATGCCAGAGGGAGTGGTTTGAGAAGTAACAAAAGCGAGCCATTAAGTGTAGAGATTCCTTATTGGTTGACTGATGTATCTAGTTTATGCTAATTAGATAAGCTCTGTGGAATGTATAAATACTGCTCCTGTCCTGCAATAAACGGCTCCTACTCCTGCTGTATCAACATACACAAGTTATTCGTCACCCCCCGGTTATTTTGCTGCAGCCAGACAGACTGCGGCAGTCTTCTTATTCTGTTAGGAATGGACAAAGGTATATGAACTCTCACAATATGGTTGTGGTTTGTAGTTAGAGAAATATTCAGTCTTGGATTTCACTTATTTCTGGTATATTTCTTTGCCTTTTTATTATTATGAAACAGCTGTCTTCATCACTAGTGAAGAATCTTAAAGTCTCCTTTGTTTTATATGAATATAGGTATATTAAATATATTTTGGCTAGAGTACTAAACACACTATCCCATTCTTAACTTTCAATCTTTGTTTTCTCTCTTTCTCTCTCACACACATTTATTTGGTAGTATGTGTTTGAGTTGTTCTTAAATATAGTCTGAATATTTTGATTGTTTAATTAAATTACTTAAATCAATTATTATTATATCTTTCAATCCACACTTATCTAACTATGCTTCCATTTGCTTCTAAGGTTTTGTTCTTCTTTTAGATTTTATTATTTTTTTTATGCACCGTCAGTTACTTTTTGGTTATTATTTAATATAAGATATAACTGTTATCTACACTATTTCTACTTTCATGAGATAATCCTTGGAACCTTAGAAATCTCTACTCTACACCTGTACCTTGATGTTCTTGCAATTATGAATTTAAATGTCATATATTTAAATGTCATATCCTTTAAGAAATTGCCATGTTAGAGTCTGTAAACAAGTCAGGATGGCGCCTGGCATTTTGCCAGAGGGAGTGGTTCGTGAGGTGGCGCCAGCGAGCCATTAAGTGTGGAGATTCCTTATTGGTTGACTGCTGTATCTAGTTTATGTTAATTAAGATAAGCTGTGTGGAAAGTATAAATTCCCCTCTGGTCCTACAATAAAGGGCTCCCACTCCTGCTGTATCAATCTACACAAGTTGTTCATCACCCCCAGGTTATTTTGCCCAGCCAGCCGGGCTGCGGAACTGCCACAATTGCCTAGAGTAACATTAGATCAATACTTATTTATATTTACTCTTCCTGTCTCTTTCTATTTCTTCCTGTAATTCTGTGATCTGTTTAGGACTCTTTCCTTTTGTTTAATGATTTATACTAAAAGTATTTCTTTTAGTGTAGATATGACTGATTCAGTTTTTATTTGTTTGTATAAAAACATGTTAGAATACCCTGTTTGATGGTTATGTTTTCTGATAATAGAATTCTAGTTTTGGTAAAATTTTCCTTCAGGGTCCTTAAAACATTAATTCTTTGCCTGTTGGTTTCATTGATTTATGTTAAAAAGTTCTTCATTTTACTTATGCTTTTTTAGAAGTAATATGTCGCTTTTGTGTAGTTGCTTTAAAATCTTTTTCATTTTGTCATGAGCAACTTTCCTACAATATGCCTAGTGTACTTTGTTTTTATTTATCCTAATTAGGTTTCTCTTAATATATTGAAGGGGAAACACTTTCATCAGTCTTGTCATTTTTTTGTTTAAATATTGCTTATTACACACTCTTACTCTCTCTTATCCTAGGATTATGATATGTATGAGTTTTTCATTATATTCCACATGTTACTAATATGCTTTTCTATATTTTTCATTATTTTTCTATTTGTATTTTTATTTTTTTATATCAGCCTAACTGCATACACTGATACTGTATTCCCTTATGTCTATGATATTAAATCATTTAGTTTTGTATGATATTTCTTAGTTATAAAACAAATTTCCATTTTTAAATTTCAATTGTTTGATGAAATTCTCTTTATATCTATTTTCTCTATTGTTCCTTATTTTCAGCACATTAGCCATACTTATTTTAACATGTATGTCAATTAATTAGAATATCTGGATTATCCCAGCATTTGGGGGGTTTAGGTTTTTTGCTTGTTTTATCTGTACCATCCAGTTGTGTGTTTATGTGTTTCCCTGTGCACACATACATGCTTATGCATCTACTAATTTTTTACTGAATGTTGGATATTTATGTAAAACATTGTTCAGGGTCAAGATGATATTATCTTCCTACAGGAAAAGCTCACTCTTTCTTCTGGTACCTTGACAGAGCCCTATATAAACAAACCATTTTAATCAAAACAGGCACTGGGATCAATCAAGATTCTCTGAAGTCCTGATATCTAGCCCTACAGAGTTTTCAGTGGAGAATTTAGTATATCCTCTATGATTCCTTCCTATGAAATCCCAAACTCTAATATTTGTATAAACAAGAAAAACTTTACTCTGCTTTTCAAGAATTTTCCACTTAAGTTTTTAGTGTTCACTGAGCTGCTCTGAGTTTGACAAATGCTCTGAGGGGAAACTCGTTCTGAGCTTGAATCCTCCAGTCTTCCAAAGGATACTGAAGTTACTCTGTTCCTAACAAAAAACTGTTGGTTGTTTTCAGATTTACCCAATTTCTTTTGGGGAAAATTGACTGTAGGATTTAGTTCTTCTCCCCAGTAATATTCCTTCTCAAAAATCTTAGCCCATTCAGGTATTATTATATCATATATTTTCTGCTGCTCCACAGAGATGATTTTTGTCTTATGGCCGGTTTTAAAGGTTGTTTTATGCTTCCAGATAATGCATGTAACCTGAAAGTAGAACCCCAGTAAATACATGCATGTTTTAACTTCACACTTTTAAAATATATTTTGTAACTTTTTATCATAAAAGGAGACTTTAATGTGATATGGGCCATATTGACTTCAGTAGAATTTCTGCCCTTCAAATAGCACATGTTAAATGCATTACAGACAACAGCAAAATAATTATAAAAGATGCATTTGTAATACAGGCATTTGAGAAAAAGCATATTGAAATGTGTGTCATTATCAGAATATTAGCCTCCATTCTCTATCCTGGTTTGATAACAGTAAAATTGGTGTATTTTCATTTGGTATGCATGTTGTGAATATTATCTGGATCATTTTCACTACAAAATCCCAGGAACTAAATTTTAAAATGTTGATCTTTTCTACATTCTGGAGCTATCAACTAGCTAGTAAGGAATGATCCAAATTTTATGAATGCACACACGAATGAGATGGGTTCTGTATGATCATTTGTCCAGTCAAATTAGATTCTTGAAAAGTGAAATTAAATTTTCATGATCTTGAGATAGACTGGTGAAAACTTAAACAAGACTTATTACTTTTCATAGAAAAATATTCATTTAAATAAGTGATAATAAATAAGGGAGAAATCAATAATGTTAATTACCATATTTATATCTTGTATATTTGTTTGTATTTAATTCTGGTCTCACATTTAACTCTTCCTCACTTCAACTTTTCAATTAAGTGATGGCTAAAACCTTTGTTTCAAGAATGATTTAAATGTCAGTAATTTTCTTTTTTTTTATTATGTCCTCAGAAAAATTATTAATTCAGGGAAAAGCACAAGATTTAATATCCAGTAAAATAATATTTGAGATTTATAAATAAATATTACATTATAAAATAAGCTTTTTAACTGTTCATCTTAAGCCAGAAGTCCTATGAAATTGTCTTATATCCATATACATTTAACCCGTTTGGAATCACACAATCAATTAACTAGGCTTATTTAACAGCTTAGAACTATTATAATTCAGATAAATTCATTACTGTTCAAGCTACCTAAGATCAAAATAATACTTAGTTCATACAAATGTAACTTTGATGTCATTGAAAAATTAAATTTAAATAATATTAAAGAATAAAACTGAAGATAATTAAACATCAAAAAGAAGTTATTATGTTGTTGATAAAGACTGTTCACATCTACAAAGTGCAAAATCTATGATCAGCCAAAAAGAAATAAACAGGACAGCCAAAATGCAGAAGAATTTTCCTGATTTTTGAAAAGCGGGGAGAAACTGCAGAAAAACAGCAAATTCCACTTTATCATCTATTTATAAAGCAAAAGGACAAGGAGCTATATGAGGCCCTCAAGAGTCCTGAAATTCTTTGGAGAGATTTGGGGCATAATTCAGGCTCCAAGATTATTCTTTGAATATGATTATGTAAAAAAGTGATTTAACAGTTTTAGTTTAGTTTTTAGTTTAGTGAAGTGGATGGCAAATTATATCAGTTTCCCTATAGTTTATCATAAATGACAATTATTTAAAAATTTTAAATCCTAGTATTTATGGAACACATACAATATTTTAGGTTAAGTACCAACTAAATACATATCATTGCCTTACATATGTGGTGCTCACAACAGGAAAGGGCCACACTTTTTGTGTATAAATATTTTAATGAAGGTAATGTTGACATTCAATTTGAGAAAAACAAGTAGGACTAGGTTTTATGCTCACGGCTACTCAGTGGGCTTAGTCTGATAGTATAGTGAACCACAAATTTAGTTAAAGGTGAACACTCTGGTATTGAAATATGAAATTATGTGTTAAAGATGTGTGCCAAAAATACATGGAAATTCAAGATTTCATACAAGCCTTTAAATAGTTTATGAAATTTATTAAGTTCATTAAAATAAGAAGTTTTTGACTACTTGCTAAATTTACAATTGGGGAAAACTAACCATTAAGATTAGATCAATTATGAGGAAAATACATACTTCATATGCCTAAAAATGCTAATACCAATAACAAGAACAAACTTAGAGCTACCAGGAATATACATAGGTTTGGAATAGTGGTTAGAATACTTTAACAGCACTAGAATTCCTAAAGAAATAAATTGCAATAGAAAGTTGTCAAAATAGTGAGAATGAAATACAACAATTAGTTGAATACAAAGCTATTTCTGCAGCTGGAATTTTCCTTAACTTCTCTCCCAGCATCCTGAACCAAAAGGTTAGGGAATATGGGCTTCAGGAATTTGAACTCACCAGTCCCAGAGTTTCCACCCAGACACACCTCATACTGGTAGCTCTGAGACAGTGTCCCAGTGCCACTGACGTCCACCAGGTGGCTGGGAAAGTGGCCCTCAGGCACAGAGCAGACACCCAGCGGCACCGCCCTGCGCCTCCTGCACAGCCTCACCACCACAAACACCAACACAGAAAAGAGGAAGAGCGACGACACAGAGGCCAAGGCGATGACCAAATAGACAGTGAGCGAGTCCCCCTGCTCGCGCTCGGGCGCCACTTCCGGGAGCGGCAGGTAGGGCTGGGAGAAGCCATCCACCAGCAGCACGTGCAGCGTGACGCTGGCAGACAGCTGAGGCTCGCCATTGTCCTTGACCAGCACCACCAGCCTGTGCCTGGCCGCGTCGCGCTCGCTCAGCAGCCTGGCGGTGCGCACCTCGCCATTGTGCGCCCACACGCCAAACAGCCCTGGCTCCGTGGCCTTGAGCAGCTGGTATGACAGCCAGGCGTTCTGGCCTGAGTCTCCATCCACCGCCACCACCTTGGTGACCAGGTAGCCCTGCTCTGCTGCCCTGGGCACCAGCTCAGTGCAGGGCGCAGAGGCATTCTGCATTGGGTACAGCACGAAGGGCGAGTTGTCATTGTCATCCAGCACCACCACTCGCACCAGCGCCTGGCTGCTGAGCGCAGGTGAACCTTGGTCTGTGGCGCCCACATGGAACTGGAACGCCTGCAGGGCCTCGAAGTCCAGCGCCCTCAGCGCGAACAGCTGCCCATTGTCTGCGTTGATGGAGACCAGCGAGGCGAGGGGCAGGTGTGGATCCTCGGTGGGCAGCAGCGAGTAAGTGATCTGGGCATTGGTGCCTGAGTCTCTATCTGTGGCCCTGACACTGCCTATGTGCAGAGCTGGCTGGTTGTTCTCATGCACCAACAGCCTGTAGGACATTTGTGTGAAAGCAGGGGCATTGTCATTAACATCTGAGATGAGGAGGTTTATGCTGTGCTCGGTTTTCAAACTGGGTGTCCCCAGGTCAATGACTGTGATGGTGATGTTGTACTCTGCTCTGCTTTCTCTGTCCAGTGGCCTCTCTGTCACCAAGGTGTAAAAGTTCTCAAATGTTGGCTTCAAGAGGAAGGGGAGATCGTTTTCTATGGAGCAAACCATCCTACCATTGTCCCCAGAGTCTGGATCAGAAACACTGAAAATGGCAACTACAGTCTCTGGGGAGTTTTCTGGGATAGAGCTGCTGAGTGTGGACATGGTTAGTTCAGGAGCATTGTCATTCACATCCACCACTTCTATGGCCACTGTGCATTTTCCCACAAGGCCTCCACCATCTGTGGCTGCAATTTCTACAATATAATGTTGGGTTGCTTCAAAATCCAATGCCCTTTGGAGACGAATTTCTCCTGATTTTTCATGTATTACAAATGGTTGAAAAACTTCATCACCTTGAAATAAAGAATAGGCTACACTCCCGTGTGTTCCTGCATCTAAATCTCGAGCAGAGACAATGAGAACTAACGAGTTTATGGGACTGGTCTCAGGAACTTGTACCTTATACAAAGACTGTAAAAATTCGGGGGCATTATCATTGATGTCCACCACCTCAATGCGAACTGTGATGGTCCCAGACCTGGGTGGAGCCCCACCATCCAGCGCTGTAAGGGTTAAACTGAGTTCAGACTCTTCCTCCCGGTCCAGGGCTGTGTCCAACAGCAGTTCTGGGTATTTTCTGCCATCTCCGCGATTGTGAGTAGCAACATGAAAATAGGAGTTGGGGCTGATTGTGTAGTTCTGAACACTGTTGCTACCTATATCAAAATCGTGAGCTGATTTCAAAGGAAACATCGTCCCTTGCTGTGCACTCTCTGGGATTCTAAGGATCATTTCCCTGTCTAGGAACTCTGGAGAATGGTCATTTATATCTGTCAGTTGCACATCAACTTTAAACAACTGCACTGGGTTTTCTAGTAACAGTTTGAAATGCAATATGCAGGGTTCTGTAGCCCCACACAACACCTCCCGGTCTAGTTTTTCCTGTAGAAGCAAATTGCCGGTTTTTACATCAAGCTGCAAGAGCTGTTTGCTGCCTTTGTGATGGATTCGCGCACCCCGAGTGGCCAGCTCTCCCACCCTGAGCCCCAGATCTTTTTCCAGGTTGGCCACAGAGTAGCCGCTTTCTGTTTCTTCTGGCATGGAATATCTAATTGCCTCAGAGTCAGCCTCCCACAAAAACAACAGCATAGCAAGAAAAAAGACTTGCCTTTTCCTTGGCGTTTTATCTAGCTCTGCCTCCATTGTTCAGACGGGTCCAGAAGGTGAAGTTCCTTTTACTCTGTATGCAATCCACTCAGACGATTTGGTCAAATGTTTCTGTTTTTATGATCTTGGAATGAAGACCTTTCTGAAGATTTGTCTCCTGGAGCTCACCTAAAACGCCTCATTGTTGTAGGGAGCTTTCAGAGTGATTACCAGCTCAAATGCGTTCTTGGGCATCCAGAGCCCATTATTCACACTCTTAGCCTGCAGCGCCACCAGGTGTCCTTTCTTACTATTGCACATAATATTTGCCATTTCATTCCAAATTTTAAATCTGGTGTGTATCCATACCCTTTTAAGCCACAAAAGCGTTCCTTATTTTATCTCCAAGTTATTAGAAGTTGTAAATGAATATCACCTGAGTTAATTTTCAGTAAAAGAATACCTTTAAGAACAAAGTAAACTGATATATTATCTTTATCTTTTTTATCTTCATTTGAGTACATGAGGAACTTTGTGTTTATAATTTATTATTTTTATGAAATTAATAATAATGTATATTGGCAAAATTTCGATTTTAAAAAAATTACTTTAATTTTGAAATATAACATTCCACCAGAAAAAGTCACAAAGCATAACTGTACAACTCAGTGAAATACTGTTTGTTAAAGGCAGGAATTTAGGTTTAATGCCATTTCTCTGTGTGTGTGTGTGTGTGTGTGTGTATTTAATAATCATTTTCTAAAGTTAGACATAACATTAGAATACACTTTGACAATCTCAAAAGCATGCAAAATAATTTCTCTAATTCAATCCCAAAGTGGTTCAAAAAAGTCAAAATTTAAATGTTTTCTCTGATATGTGGAAGCTAGTGGCAAAATGGTTGAGGCATTGGGGGTATTCCATCAAAACAGAGGAAAGATCAGTAGAGTAGTGGCAAGAGTAAAATGGAGGGATAGGATGAATCTGACCACACATACATATGTACATACAGTGAATCTCAAGTCAGTGAATTTTAACAAAGTGTATATACTATTATAAGAATTTTCCAGATTAAAAATTGAAAGTCTACCAAAACCCAAGAATTCCCCTTCTTTGTTTGTTTTTTGTCTTCCTCCTAAAAGGCAAGCACTATCTTGACTTCTATTATCATATCTATCTCAGCTTTTTTTTTTGAATTTTCATACAAATAAAGCTATACAGTATTAGCATTTTGTCGATGTTCTTCAATTAACATTATATTAAGTGAAATTGATCTGTGTCATGTTGTTCTAATGTGTTTTGTACACATTGGTTTATATTTTTCAGATGTATGAATATACCATGTAGTTTATACATTCTACAGTGACTGAAAATTGGGGTTTTTCCAGTTTTGAGATTTTTTTGTTCTATCACTATGTATGTTGAATATGTTCATAAGATTTGGATTGTTGTGCATTAATGCATGCACATATATTTAGATCTTCAAATATTGTGAAATATTTTTTTTAAAGTAGTTATAGTAATGCCAGCAAAGTTTGGGAGTTCCAGTTTCTTCATATCCTTGTCAACATTTGATGTTGTCTCTTCAGTTTCAGCCACTCTACTCAGTGTGTGGTAATAGCATATTATGATTTTAATTAGCATTTCCCTGGTAATTCATGAAATCATACACATTTTCACAAATTTATTGGCCATTAGTTTATATTATCATGAAGAGCTTATAAAAGTCTTTTGTATATTTTTCTATTTGGGACGTTTGTTTCCTTATTATACTGGAAATTCTATATTCTGGAAATATCTTTTTCAAATACGTGAATTGCAAATATGTCTTCCCACTCTATGCTTGTATTTTTTATAATTTTTGAGAATTTAATGGTTACACGTAGAAGTTGGGTTCCATGCTTGTATTTAAAATTTATTATGGTGACATTGATTAAGAAATCTTTAATTTGGTCTGATTTATCAATATATTTTATTTATAGTTAACAGCTTGTGTATACTAGTTGAATCTTTTTCATACTCCAAGGCATAAAGATATTGTTATACATTTTGAAAAACTAATAACTATATTTTGCATGTTGAAAGCTATAATCAATTTTAAATTACTTCAAGTGAATAATGTTAGGGTCATTTTTCATGTAAATATTCAAATGTCTTTGAACCATTGATTGTGAAGATGATTCTCATTATTTCTGAAATGTCATCATTGTCTTAAATCAGGTAACCACATGTTGGCTCAAGGGTTCAATTTTTTTTATTCTGCAATACCATATTTTATTGATTACCATAGCTTTATCATAGTTTGTTATGAGAGGTAAGTCCTCCATTTAAAAATCAATAGACTGTTTTAAAGAGCAGTTTTAGACCCACAAAAAATTAAATCAAAAGACAAAGAGATTTTCTATATACCCCTGTCCCCGCAAGTACACAACCTTCTCCATTATCAACATCCCCTATTAGAGTTGTACATGTCTTACAATTTATGGACCTACATCAACACATCTTTGTCACTAACTCTTAAGTTTAAAATAAGATTCATTTCTGGTACTGTACATTGTATGAGTTTTTACAAATGTAAATGACATGTATCCACTTTTACAGGGTAGTTTAACTGGCCAAAAATCTGTGCTCCACCTATCTCTTCCTTACCTGAATACACTGGAAACCTCAGATATTTGTACTGTCTCCACAGTTTTGCCCTTTCCAAAATGTCTTGTAGTCAGAGTAGTACATTATAGAGTCATTAGAGAATGACTATTTCACATAGCAATATGCATTTAAATTTTCTCCATGCCTTTTAATGATTTGATGGCTATTTATTTATGTATTTTGGTATTGAATGATAATATATAAAGTCTGAGTGTATCACTGTTTACTTATCAATTCACTTATTGATGGATATTTTGATTTTGACAGTTATGAACATAGCTACTATAAACCTCACCTTGCATGTTTTTGTGTGGATCTAAGTTTTCAATTCCTTTGGATAAATACTAAGAAGCACAATTGCTGCATAAATTGTAAGAGTATCAACTTTGCAAGAAGATGCCAAACTATCTTCCAAAGCAGCTGTACCCTTCCTGATCCATCATCATTGAATAAGAATTCCTTTTCCTCCCATCTTCCTCAGCATTTGGTGTTGTCAGTGATCTAGAGGTTGGACATTCTAATGGTTTTATAGTGGTATACCAATTTTATTTTAATTTGCATTTTCCTGATGACATCTATATAGAGCATGTTTTCATCTGATTATTTGTCATCTATCTATTTTCTTTGGTAAATTTTTGTTATTTTGTCCAGTTTTACATGAATTTTTAACAATCTTTGTATATTTTGGATAATAATCCTTTATAATATGCTTTTCGTCAATATTTTCATACTCTGTGACCTTTTTATTCTGTTGATAGAATCTTTGGCACAGCAGAAAATTTTAATTTTAATGAAGTTCAACCTAGCAATTATTTCTGTCATAGATCACACCTTTAGTGTGATATCTCTAGTTTTATTCTTTTTCTTCAAGATTGCTTTGGTTTTTATTGTTTGGTTGTATTTCCATACAAACTTTATATGCAGTGTTTCTCTTTTCCAAAAGAAATTGGCTAACATTTTGTTTAGGATTTTGTCACATGTATAGACTGGCTGGAGAAGAACTAATATTCCTATCATTCCCATTATTTAGTCTTTCAAGTAGTGAACACTGTGTATTCTTCTATTTAGTTAGATCTTCTTTATTTTCTCAATGATGTTTTGTGATTTTTTTCAGGGTAAAGTTATTATGAATGATTCCTTTTGATTTCTTTCCAGGTACATGATATTTTGAAAACTATTGTAAATTATATTTAAAATTTTCATTTTTTATTGTTGGTGATTATAAAGACAACTCATATTTGTATATTGTCCTTGTATCCTTGATATTGCTAACTTTATTTAATAATTGCTAATAAATTAGAGATTTTTTCATGCTTTTTATGCAATAATCATCTGTTTTGAAAAGAGGATTTCTTCTCTCCCAATCATTGGGCCTTTTGATCCTTCTTTGTCTTTTTCCACTGATTGGGGCCAATAATAAACTACTGAATTGAAGTAGTAAGGGTGAGAATCCTATTCTTGTTCTTGAGCTTTAGAGAAAAGCTTTTAATAAATTACTATTAATGATGTTTATTGATGTTTTAACAGACACTATGAAATTCCCCTTCCATTTTCATTTGCTAGCAATTTTACCATTAATGTGTTCTGAATTTTATCAAATGACATTTGATTATCCACTGAGATGATCATTTTATTTTTCTTTTTCTCTTAATATATTATTGTTTCCCCCTCATATATCACTGAAATTTATTTGTTCATTTTTAAAATAAATTTTCTATATATGTTTTTAAAAGAAATTCGGTTGTTATCTTTCTTTCTTATACTGTCAAATTCAGGTGGGATGTCATAACTACTAAAAATTGTGCTGGTGCCCAAATGATTCCAGAAATACCTTTAATTTTTCTATTCAAAGTGATGTACATTTTTACATAATTATTTGAAAGAATTCACCACTGTGAAGTGAATAGATTTTAATAGCATCTTTCTTTAATCGATATAACTAATCAGATTTTCTATTTCTTCTTCCTTCATTTTTGGAAAACTGGATTTTTAAAGAATATTTTATATAAGTTGTCAAATTTATTGGCATAAAGTTGTTCATGATATTCCCATTTTATATTTTTAAAAATCTGTAGGATTGGTAAAGATGTTTCTTTTTTCATTCCTAATATTGGGAGTTGGTGTTTTTTTTCTCTCTCTTTTTTTTGGGGGGGATTCATCTAAAAGATTTTAATTTTATTTAATATTACAAAGAAACACATTTGGGTTTGTAGAATTTCTCTGTTTATATATTTCCATATCTTTTATTTATTTTTGCTTGGGTAAGTGTACCTTTGTTCTTGTGTGTGGGGAGGGGGTGGGGGCTGGGGATTGAACCCAGGGCATTGTGTATGCTAAACAAGCACTCTACGAACTGAGCTATATCCCCAGCCCAACCTTTGTTCTTTGCATTTGATTTGCTATTATTATTCTTGCTTCTTTACATGAAAACTTACATGATTTTTCAGTCTTGCTTCTCTAATGTGTGCATTAAAGATTTTAAATTCTCAAATTCTGTATGTCAAATTTTTTTTAATTTTGTACACCATTTCATTGCAAAATTCTTTTTTATTGGTTCTTTTTAGTTACACATGACATTAGAATCCATTTTGACATTATTATACAAGCACTGAATATATTTTGTTCTAATTAAGACCCCAGTACCTCTCCTTCCCCTTCCCTCTTCCCTCTATTGATCTTTTTGCCATTTATCCATAATTTTTTTTCTTAAATTAATTTCTTGTTGCATGTACCCAATGGTGAGATTCGCTGTGGTTTATTCATGTACATACATATGAAGATTATGACAGATTAAAAATCAACTTACTCCAGTAATACAGCCACATCAATGTTTACAGCAGCACAATTCACAATAAGCTATGGAGCCAACCTAGGTGCCCAACAGATGAATGGATAAAGAAAATGTGGCATATATACAAACAGGGTATTAATCAGACATACATAGAAATGACTTTATGACATTTGCTAGTAAATGGATCAATTGGAGACTATCATGCTAAGTGAAATAGGTCAATCCAAAAAAAATTAAAGTTCAAATGTATTCTCTAATATGTGGAAGTTAATCCACACTAAGGGGAAGACAGAATAGAAGTTCAGTGGAGTATATGCGTCAGTTCTTAAACTTTGCATATTTGAAAATGTTTGGAAATTTCTGCTGTGATTTCAAATTTGATTTGGGTTTTATTAATTAATTTTGAAGCATTTGGGGATTTGTCATATTTTCATTTTTTTCCTTATTCTGCTGCAGTCAAAAAGTATAATGAGTCATCTCAATGTCTTTTATTTTAAAATGAGGCTTGTTTTATAACCCAGAATATGGGAAATTTTCATATTTCAAATATGTGTAACAAAATTGTGTATGCATGAGTGTGCTATGGATGTTGATGTGTTTAAATATGTTTTGTGTTATTGATATCTTCAATATTCTTGTATGTGTGTATGTGTGTATATACAGGGGCACATATGTGTTTTGTCTTCTTATTCTATCAGAATTGAGAGGTTTGTGGTTTGTCTACTTTTCATTTGTACTTCATCAATTTGACTTTTTTTAACTCTGTAGTAAAAATATTTCTTATGGGGAAATATTTCTCACATATTTCTGTTATATTTTCATATTATTATAAAACATCTCTCTTCCTAGCAATGTATCTTTCCTTAAAGTCTCCTTGGTCTTTTGTGAATATAGCTACACTAAAAGGCTAGTATTTGTAGTACATACCTTATTCCATTTTTAAACTTTCAATTTTCTGTGTTCTATCACATACACATACATATGATAGCAATATTGAGTTTTTCTTAAATCTGGTGTACAATACTGTTAGCTTAATTGTATTATTAATGTAATATTTGATATCTGCCCATCTATAATTAACATCTAATTATTTTTTACTTATCCCAGAAATTTTGTTCTTCTTTTGGTATTCAAATATTTGTTATATAAAAATTTCCCATCAAATAGATTTTTAGTTATTCTTTAAGAGGCTATTCAAGAAATCACAGCATGATCTTTGATCTATAAGAATCTAATACAAATTATTGATCTGAATATCACCATAATTTTAATTAAAACATTAGAACTCTCCAAATCTGTGCCTCTACCTCTCACATTGTTGTTGTTGTTATGAACTTAAATTTAATGTGCCACAGTCCGGCTGCAGCAAAATAACCGGGGGGGGGGGGGGGTGACGAACAACTTGTGTACATTGATACAGCAGGAGTAGGAGCCATTTATTGTAGGACCGGAGGGGTATATACACATTACACACAGCTTATCTTGATTAACATAAACTAGATACAGCAGTCAACCAATAAGGAATCTCCACACTTAATGGCTCGCTGGCGTTACTTCACAAACCACCCCCTCTGGCAAAATGCCAGGCGCCATCTTGACCTGTTTACAGACCCCAACATTAATGCATATTTTAAATCCTTAAAGAAACTACTAATAGTGCCCAGTATAATCAACATTAAATCAATACTCATTTATATTTACCCTTCCTGTCTTTTTATTTCTTCCTGCAAATCTGTGATCTTTTTAGGACTGTTTTCTTTCTGCCTAATGAATTCCACTGGAAGTATTTCCACTAGTGCAGGTGTGACTGTGATTAACTCTGTCAGTTTTTGCTTCTTTGACAACTTCATTGCTGAGGGAAATGTTTGCTGGTGATAGAATTATAGTCTATTAATAATTTTCTTGTCTTTAAAAGATAACATGTTGAAGGTTAGTTTTACCCATGCTTCTTTAAAAGTAATATGTGATATTTTAGGTGATAGCTTTTGAGATTTTTTTTCTCTTTGACTTGTATCTTGACTTTTGGTTTTGATTTTTGGACTTTTTAAAAATTTTTATCCTGATTGGGTTTCTCTGAGTATCTTGAAGATTTAAAGACACAATTTTGGAAAATTCTTGGTCATTAACTGTTCAAATACTGCTTATTACCACTCTACTCCCTCTTATCCTTCTAGGATTACAATCATATGTAAGTTAGAGTTTTTCATTAATGTTGTTTTTCATTATTTTTGGGTTCCTATTTGAATATTTTATATTGATCTGTTTCACTTCCACTAATCCTGTAGTCTTTTATATCTATGACATTAAACTATTTCAACAGTTTTACATCAAATATTATAATTTTGCAGCTAAAGAATGAATGTCCATTTTAAGATTTCAGTTGTCAGGTGAAATTCTCTTTACATCTATTTTCTCTATTGTTCCTTATTTTTGATATATTATTCATGCTTATTCTAACATTAATTCTACTATCTAGATTATCTGGAAGTCATTTGTTTTGTGTTTTTTCTCTTGATTTTACTTAGATCATCCAGTTTTGTGTGTAGGTGGCTTGTAACTTTTTACTGAATTCTCGATATTTATGTAAAAAGATGTCCAGGATCAAAGTGATATTGAACCAGGAGGGTTCACTTTTTCCTCTGTTGGCCTGATAGAACTCTAACTAGTCAAATTGGGCTAAAGTGAAACACACTTAGTTTAGTCAAGGTTCCTTGCTATCCTAAAAAGTACCTTGTCTACAGAATTGTCAATTGAAAAATTGGTATATTTTCTATGCCTCTTCCCATGGCAGATCCCAAACTCTAATCTTCAAATAGTAAAGAAAATTTCATCCTGCTTTCTAAGAATTTTCCACTTGGGTTTTTAGACTTCTGCCCTGGGCTGTGCTGAGTTTGACAAGTGACCTAAATGGGGAAACTGATCCTGAGCTTGAATCTTACAGACTACTAAAGGCTATGGAAGTTAGTCTGTCCCTGTTAAGCATCTGTTGTTTGTTTCCTGACTTAGCAAATTTCCTTGGAAGAAAACTGACTGTAGGACTTAGTTCTCATCCCAAAGCATTCTTTTCAGAAATCCTAAGCCACTCATTTCTTATCCTATCATCTGACCTCTGTTGCTGTAGAGAGGTAATTTCTGATATTTAGCCAATTTTCATGGTTGCTTTTTGCTGCCAGATAATCCATCTAACCTGGAAGCAGAATTCCATCAAATGTATTCATGAGTTTTAACTTAACACTTTTAAAAATACATTTTTGCAACTTTTGATTATGAAGAGACAATCTGAGTGATCTGTGCTATTTGCTTCCCAAAAGAATGCACTGAACTCACTACATGCTGTGCCTGAAACAACAGCAAAGGAATTACAAAAGTTGTGTATATTTGAGAGACAAAAAATGTTTAAATGGGTGTTATTATTAAGATATTTTTCTTCCATTCTATATTTTTTTCCTGTGGCCATCAAACTGGCACATTTTATGAGGTATATCATGTTGTGAAATTTTACAGTGTTTATTGCTAAATTCCAATTAGTGAATTTCAAAAAGTTGATCTGTTGTGATGGGCTCTGATTGGTAAGGAATGATCCATTCTTTTTCCAAGGATGAAGTGGAATGGGTTTTATTTGTCCAGTGTCATTTAGGTGATTATATAAATTAGACTAACCTAGCATAAACAAAAAAAAATGAAATTGGATTTTTGTGTGTTGAAATATATTGGTAAAACCTTCAACCCTATTTCTTATTATCATACATAAAAACTATTTAATTTAAATTTCTAATAAATGGAGAAGTCATTACCATTGACTTCTATATTTGTATCTTACATGTTTGTGTTTCTTTTCTCACTTTTCTCTCTTCCTAACTCAAATTGGAAAATTATATTTCAAGAATAACAAATGTTAAGTAATTTACCTTTTTAATTTCATTTTATCACTTGGGGAAAAAAAGAGTAACTCGGGGGAAAAATTCATGTACTGTAAACTCCAGTAGAATGATATTTGAGATTAAAACACAAATGTGTTTAGATTATAGCAAGTTTTTCAGTTGTTCATGTTTTGCCAAAGCTCCAAAGAAATTTTCTTATAGTTTTATTCATATAAATTTACTAGTTAGAAATCACATAATTCACCTACTTGGCTTATTGAATGCAACAAAAACAATTATAATTCAGGTAAATTAATTACTGTTCCAATGTATTCAGAAATAAAATATTACTTATTTTAATATATGATGTTAGATATTACATTACTTATTTGGTTACTGCATACCTAGTGGTGACAATGACAAACAAAAGTCTCCTACACTTAAACTTGAGGAAAGGGTAAGAACATATATGATGCCCTCAGGAGTCCCAAATTCTTTGGAGAAGCTTAGGGTTTATTTCAGATTCTAAGATTATTTTTTAAAGGATTATACCAAGATGTTCTTTAACAGAATTTCTAAATTTTTTTTTTTTGCGTTGGTGCTGGGAATTGAAACCAGGCTTAGCATATATGCATGCATGCTCTACCATTGGGTCATGCCCTCAGCCCCTTAACAGTTTCATTTAGTGAAACAAATAAGACATTACAAAGATGTTCTCTTTAGTATTTGTAGATGAGAATTATTTTTAATTTAATATTAATGTTTATGAAAATATAATGCAGTAGATATGCTGTAACCAAATGTTTAAGATAATCTCTAACATGTGTTGCTCATAACAGGCCACAGTTTTAGTATAGAGACATTTTAACAAAGTAAATATTTATATACAATTTGGGAGAAAAAAAGTATGCTAAGTTTCATGCTCACATTTCTTCAGAGAGCTTAAGTTGGTAGTGTACTCAATGAGAAATGCCAAGATAAATATAAAGAATTTCACCTGGGTATCAAGATCAGTGGAATACGTGCTTGATTAGCATGCAGGAAATTTGAGCATCTATACCCAGCACCAATGAAATAAAACGAAATTTCAAACACTCTGGAGTTGAAAGAGGAAGTTATATGGTAAACACTGGCACTACAAGTAATAACAATTCAAGGTTTCATAAAAGCTTTAATATTAACTAATTTAAGAAGTTGCTAAAAATAAAATTTGAGCACTATTTGAGTAATTTCTACTTAGAGAAATAGTATTCACCAAGAAGGTCAAATGGGGAGAAAACGCATACTCATAAATAGTGTCATTTAAATGCTAATTATAATGAATACCAACCATACACACAAAAAAAATATATATATGAAGCACTACCAGAGAAAGAATATTGTTGGTATAGTGCTATCAATATTTGAGAAAGGTATTGTAAGAATAGTTGCCCAGATTAATAGATTAACTGAAACAAATACAATAATTAATTAAATACAAAACTATAAAAGTTATTTGGGGGTTTTCCTTAGTTCCCAGTGTTCTGAAGCAAGAGATTGGGGAATATTGGTTTCAGGAACTTGAACTCACCAGACCCAGAGTTTCCAGCAAGACACACCTCATACTGGTAGCTCTGGGACAAGGTCCCAGTGCCGCTAACATCCACCAGGTGGCCAGGAAAGTGGCCCTCACGCACAGAGCAGACACCCAGCGGCGCCGCCCTGCGCCACCTGCACAGACTCACCGCCACGAACACCAGCACAGAGAAGAGGAAGAGCGATGACACAGAGGCCAAGGCGATGACCAAGTAGACAGTGAGCGAGTCCCCCTGCGCGCGCTCTGGCGCCTCTTCCGGGAGCGGCAGGTAGGGCTGGGAGAAGCCATCCACCAGCAGCACGTGCAGCATGACACTGGCAGACAGCGGAGGCTCGCCATTGTCCTTGACCAGCACCACCAGCCTGTGCCTGGCCGCGTCGCGCTCACTCAGCAGCCTGGCGGTGCGCACCTCGCCATTGTGCGCCCACACGCCAAACAGCCCTGGCTCCGTTGCCTTGAGCAGCTGGTATGACAGCCAGGCGTTCTGGCCCGAGTCTCTGTCCACTGCCACCACCTTGGTGACCAGGTAGCCCTGCTCTGCCGCCCTGGGTACCAGCTCGGTGCAGGGCGCAGAGGCGTTCTGCATTGGATACAGCACGAAGGGCGAGTTGTCATTGTCGTCCAGCACCACCACTCGCACCAGCGCCTGGCTGCTGAGCGCAGGCGAGCCATGGTCTGTGGCGCCCACGTGGAACTCGAGTGCCTGCAGGGCCTCGAAGTCCAGCGCCCTCAGCGCGAACAGCTGCCCATTGTCTGCGTTGATGGAGATCAGCGAGGCGAGGGGCAGGTGTGGGTCCTGGATTGGCAGCAGCGAGTAGGTGATCTGGGCATTGGTGCCTGAGTCTCTGTCTGTGGCTCTGACACTGCCTATGTGTAGGGCAGGGCTGTTGTTCTCGCGCACTAACAGCATATAGGAGGTTTGTGTAAAGTCAGGGGAGTTGTCGTTAACGTCTGAGATGACAACAGTTATGCTGTACTCGGTATTCAATCTAGGTGACCCCAAGTCAGTGACTGTGATGGTGATGTTGTACTCTGCTCTGCTCTCTCTGTCTAGCGGCCTCTCTGTCACCAAGGTGTAAAAGTTCTCAAATGTGGGCTTCAAGAAGAAAGGGAGATCGTTTTGTATGGAGCAAACCATCCTACCATTGTCCCCAGAGTCTGGATCAGAAACGCTGAAAATGGCAACTACAGCCTCTGGGGAGTTTTCTGGGATAGAGCTGCTGAGTGTGGACATGGTTAGTTCAGGAGCATTGTCATTCACATCCACCACTTCTATGGCCACTGTGCATTTTCCCACAAGGCCTCCACCATCTGTTGCTTCAATTTCTACGATATAATGTCGGGTTGCTTCAAAATCCAATGCTCTTTGCAGATGAATTTCTCCTGTTTTTTCGTGTATTACAAATGGTTGAGAAACTTCATCACCTTCTAGTAAAGAGTAGGATACACGCCCATAAGTTCCTGCATCTATATCTCGAGCAGAGACAACAAGAACTAACGAGTTTATGGGACTGTTCTCAGGAACCTGTGCCTCATACAGGGACTGTAAAAATTCGGGGGCATTATCATTGATGTCTATCACTTCAATGCGAACTGTGACAGTCCCAGACCTGGGCGGCGCCCCACCATCCAGCGCTGTGAGAGTTAAACTGAGCTCAGGCTCTTCCTCCCGGTCCAGGGCTTTGCCCAATACCAGCTCTGGGTATTTTCTGCCATCACCGCGGTTGTGAGTAGCAACACGAAAATAGGAGTTGGGGCTGATTATGTAGTTCTGAACACTGTTGCTACCCATGTCCAAGTCCTGAGCTGATTTCAAAGCAAACACAGACCCTGGCTGGAGGCTCTCTGGGATTCTAAGGATCATTTCCCTGTCTAGGAACTCTGGAGAATGGTCATTTACATCTATGAGATGCACATCAACTTGAAACAACTGCACCGGGTTTTCTAGTAACAGTTGGAAATGCAATACACAGGGTTCTGTCGCCCCACACAGCACCTCCCGGTCTAGTTTTTCCTGTAGAAGCAAATTGCCAGTATTTACATCAAGCTGCAAGAGCTGTTTGCTGTCTTTGTGATGGATTTGCGCTCCCCGAGTGGCCAGCTCCCCCACCCTGAGCCCCAGATCTTTTTCCAGGTTGGCCACAGAGTAGCCGCTTTCTATTTCTTCTGGAATGGAATATCTAATTGCCTCAGAGTCAGCCTCCCACAAAAACAACAGCATAGCAAGAAAGATGACTTGCCTTTTCTGCGGGGGTTTTGCTAGAGCAGTCTGCATTGTTCAAATCCGTCCAGAAGATGCAGTTCCTTCAACCCGGTATACAATCCACTGAGATGATTTAGTTAAATCAACTTCAGTTAAATATTTTTTTTTCTGGCATGCACTTAGGACGATTAGTTCTTCGAAGATCCGTCTCTTGGAGCTCATCTAAAATGCCGCCTTCTTTTGTGGAGCTTTCAGAGTTCTGATTCCCAGCTCAACCGCGTCCGTAGCATCCAGAGCCCATTATTCACACGCTTAACCTGCAGCGCCACCAGGCGTCCGTACTTATTATTGCATATAATATTTGCATTTCAGACCAAATTCTAAATCTGGTGTGTATTAGGAACCTTTTAATCACAAAAGTACCCTTAATTTTATATCCTAGTTATTAGATGTTCTAAATAAACGTTTTCTGAGTTGATTTTCAGTGAAAGAATACTGTAAGAACAGACTGATGTGATATATATGAATATTCTCTTCATTTTCTTTTGAAGAACATGAAAGTTTCTTTTGAAAGAAACTTTTCTTGTGGGTTTATAATTCGATTGTATTTAAGAAATTATAATGGATATCTACAAAAATTTCTATTCACAAAATTAACTTTCATTTTGAAGTATAACACGCCAACATAAAATGTCACAAGTCATAAGTGTACAAGCAAGTACATTTTTAAAAATTAAAAATAGGGAAAGATTTTGGGTAACTGATATCCTTCTTCCTCTTGTATGTACTTCACACTCATTCTTTTTATTTATATATAAGATTACAATACTCTTTGATATAATGACAAAGGCATGTAAATAATTTTCTCCTTCAGCCTCCAAAGTCAAAGTTTGAATATTTGCTGTGGTGTGTAGAAGCTAATGGAAAAATGTCTGAAAGAAAGGTGTATTCCATCAAACTAGAGGAAAGATCAGTAGAGCAGTTGGAGGGGAGGAAGGCGGGATGGGTTGGGCAGTAACAGTGGAATGAATCTGACCAATCTTTCATATGTAAACATATGAATATACCACAGTGAATATCAACTCAGCGAATTTTAACAAAGTGTATATACTTCTATAAAAATACTCTAGATTGTTGAAACACTACCAAGACCCAAGAAGTCTCTTTATTTCATTGTTTTTACCCTCCCTCCAAAAAGATAAGCACTATCCTGATTTCTATTATCATAGTTATCTCTGCCTTCTTTTGAACTTTTATACAATAAAGCTATAGAGTTTTACTGTTGTTGACCTTCATTCAGTATTCTGTTAAGTAAAATGACCAGTGTCATCTTGTTCTAAGTTGTTTTGTTCTCATATATTTGTATTTATTCAGATGTATGAATGTACCATGATATTGTTGTACATTCTCCAGTTGCTGAAAATTTGAGTTTTTTCAGCTTTGAGGGTTTTTTTTTTGGGGGGGGGCGTACTACCACAATATATATTGAATATATTCATAGACTTTAGATTGTTGTGCATTAATGCAAGATATATATTTAGATTTTGTAAATATTATGAATTATTTTTCAAAAGTAGTTGGAGTAATACCAGCAAAGTATGAGAGTTCCAGGTTCTTCATATCCTTATCAACATTTGATGTTGTCTTTTCAGTTTTAACCACTCTACTGAGTGTTTGGTAATATCATTTGTGGTTTTAATTAACATTTGCAATCACCCAAGAAATCATGCCCATTTTCAAAAATTTATTGGTCATTAGTATACATTCTTTTATAATACTTGCTATTTGGGACATTTTCCTGTTTCCTTATTAGTCTGGAGAACTTATCTTCTATATTCTGGAAATATCTTTTCAGACACATGTGTTGCAAATATCTTTTCCCACTCTATGCTTTTACTTTTTATAATTTTAAGAGCTCAATGATTATACATAGTAGTTGGGCTCTATGCTTGTATCTAAAATTTATTATGGTGACATTGATCAAGAAATATTTAATTTGGTCTGATTTGTCAATATATTTTATTTAAAGTTAATAGTTTGTGTGTACTAGTTAATCTTTTCCATATTCCAAGGCATAAAAAATTCTTATGTGATATATTTTCACAAACTAATAACTATACTTTGCATGTTGAAAGCTATAATAAATTTTAAATTACTTTTTTCAAGTGAATAATGTCAGGGTGACTTTTTTCATGTGAATACTCAAATTACTTTGCACCATTTATTAAAAGATGATCTCCATTATTTCTAAAGTGACATCATTGTCTTAAATCAGGTGATCACATGTCTGCTCAAGTATTTCATTTTTCTCTTTGTTTATCCTGCATACCACATTTTATTAATTACTATGGGGTTGTCACAGAGTTTGTTATATGAGAGGCAAGGCCTCCATTTAAAAAACAATAGACTAAGGGGAAGGAAAGACAGCAGAATAAAATAGACATTATTATTGCTGTGTGTATATACGTGACTGCATAACAAATGTGATTCTGCAACCTGTACACTCAGAAAAATGAGAAATTATATCCCACCTGATTCAAATATATGATATGTGAAGATCATTGTACTGTCATGGGTAACTAATTAAAACAAATAAAAAACAATAGGCTATTTTAAAGAGCAATATGAGACCCACAGAAAAAATAAATCAGAAGGCAAAGATATTCTCACCTTCCTCTCCCCACACATGAACAACCTTCAAATTTGGCTATGTTATATTTTCATTTTCATCAAACTTAATGAATTTTTAAACTTCACTCAAGACCAATTCTTTGAATCATAGATTATTCAGAAGTGTGACCAAGGGGATATTTTCCTGTTACCTTTCCTTTATTGATTTTTTTTTTGACTCTACTATAGTTGGAAATCCATTCTGTCTGATTTTACTTTTAAATTGGCTGAGGTTTATTCTACCACCTAGTATGTGGTCTATCATGTATATATCCTGTGAGCATTTGAAAAAATTTGTATTCTATGTTTGTTAGATGGAATATTCTATAAATAGAGATGAGATGTCATTGGTTGATGTTATTGATAAGTTCTGTATCTCTGCTAGTTTTCTGACTCATTTATCTAATTTATCAAATAGATATTGAGAGAAGGCCAAGGACCTCTCCAACTGTAACTGTAGATTTGTCTATTTCTCCTAATTCTGTCAGTTTTTGCTCCACATTTCTCGAAGCTTTCAGGTATACACATTTAGGATTCCTGCATTTTCTACTTTTATCATTGTATTATGTCTCATCCTACCTCTGGTAATTTTCTTTCTTTGATAGCAACTCTATATGACGTTAATATAGCCATTACTGCTTATTAATATTATGCCACAGTCTGGCTGCAGCAAACTAACCGGGGGGGGTGACGAGCAACTTGTGTACATTGATACAGCAGGAGTAGGAGCCGTTTATTGTAGGCCAGGAGGGGTATATATACATTACACACAGCTTATCTTAATTAACATAAACTAGATACAGCAGTCAACTAATAAGGAATCTCCACACTTAATGGCTCGCTGGCGTTACTTCACAAACCACTCCCTCTGCAAAATGCCAGGTGCCATCCTGACTTGTTTACAGACCCTAACAATATTATTATAATATTTTTCCATTTTCATTTTTAGTCTGCCTGTATCATCATATTTGAAGGTTTTTATAGAGCATATATAGTCATGATTTCTTAAACCCATCCTTTCAATATCTTTGCCTTAATGTGTTTAACTATTTACATTTAATATAATTATTGATGTTAGAGCTTGAGCCTGCCATTTTATTTTATTTTTTTCTGTTTGATCTCTGCTTTTTGTTTTGTTTTCTTTTGTTTCTGGTGCTAGGGATCAAACCCAAGACCTCATTCAAGCTAAGCAAAGACTTACTTCTGAAGCTCTGTTTCTCTTTTTCCTAACTACCTGTGAATTATTAGAATACTTCCTTATTATTTCATTTTGGTATGAAATAATGCCTCTCATTGTATCACTTTGTATATTGTTAGAGTCTGTAAACAAGTCAGGATGGCGCCTGGCATTTTGCCAGAGGGAGTGGTTTGTGAAGTAATGCCAGCGAGCCATTAAGTGTGGAGATTCCTTATTGGTTGACTGCTGTATCGAGTTTATGTTAATTAGATAAGCTGTGTGGAATGTATAAATACCCCTCCTGTCCTACAATAAATGGGCTTCCACTCCTGCTGTATCAATCTACACAAGTTGCTCTTCACCCCCCAGTTATTTTGCCCAGCCAGCCGGGCTGCGGCAGTATATCTCTTTGACTGGTTGCTCTATGTATTTTACACACACACACACACACACGTTAGTTTGCTAGTGTCACCATTTTACCATTTAAAGTGGAGAAATGTACCTCATTTTACCCTTTTCAATTTATAATATAATCATCTTAGATATTTCCTCTATGTACATTTAGAACCACATCAAGCAATTTTGAATAATCATCCACTATACTTTGGAAAACATAAAAGGTGAAGGAAAGTCTTATTTTATTTACTTATATATTTATTTCCTGTGCTCTTTCTTTTTTTCTCAGTGGTGTTAAGATTCCTTTTAAAAGTTGTTTCCTGGACTGGGGTTGTAGTTCAGTGGTAAAGCGCTTGCCTAGCATGTCTGAAGCACTGGGTTCAATTCTCAGCACTGCATATAAATAAATAAAATAAAGGTCAATTGACAAAAAAATAATAATACCACATTTTTTAAAAGTTGTTTATTTCCAAATATCACAGAAAAATTCAACCTTTGGTTTTTTGGGTTTGGCTTATTTCACTTAGCATGATAGTCTGGGGTGGAAAATGGAAGTTCGGTAGATTAGAAAAGGGGAATGAAGGGAAGGGAGTGGGGATAGGAAAAGAAAAGAAAGTGGAATGAATCTGACATGCCTTTCCTATGTACATATATGAAGACATGACAGTCAACCTCTCCATTGTGTATACCTGCAAGAAATTAATTTTAAAAGAAGTTGTTTCTTTGGCTGTGGAGAACCTCCTTTAGCCCCTCTTTTATGAGTAGGTCTACTAGCAATAAAATCTTTGGAGGATATTCAAACTTGGTATCAGATCTTGGATTAACAGTTC